TAGTAGGGAACCACCCTGTCAGGAAGCCACAGCCCCGTCTACCCTGGCCCTCTGCTGAGCTCGTGCATCACTTTCCCTCCAAGAATAACACTCCTCAATACCCAAACACTGTCTCCATGACCAACTCTGAGACTATGGGTTGGTCAGCTGAGGTCTAGAGTCCTCTGGAGATTTGACCACAAACTACACAGAGTGGGCCTTGGCTGCATTTCCAGGAACCGTGTGTGAGGTGAATGAAGACTGCCTGTGTTGTCAGCTGTCATGACCTCTCATTGTTGGCCTCAGAAACCAGTGAATTAAAAGGAATTGGGGAAGTGGATGGATCAGCAGAGAATGTCTGACAAGCATTTAGATATAATCATAAGGCCACATAATCATGATCACAGTCTTTCCCGATGAAGAGAGAAATTCTAAGTTGTTAATAGATAGTTTATTTTCCTTACACATTGGACTCACACTTGAGTGGCCTAGATGGTGACTCATTTCATTGCCTTTTCAGCTGTGACTTAAAACCCACAAGAAGACAAAAAGACAAACTTGACTACATAATAATGATCACTTGTATGGTAAAATATAAACAGAATCAAAAAGCAATTAACAGTCTGGAAAAAATATCTGCAATTTTCATAAGAATGATTAATTTCCCCAATATATGATGAACTTCTAGAAATCAGGTAAGAAAATAACCTGGCAGTTCAATACAAATGGGCAAAGAGGCGTTGATTCAGAAAAAAAAATCCAAACGGTGCATGAGTACTTGGGGGGAACCCCTCAGAATGGTAAACATAGACCTAGAACTATATTGAAAAATTCCTTTTCTCTAATTTGATGAAAGAATTGGGTTATAGTTGACCATTCTATGATACTAACTTGTTTTTGGTGAAGTAACCACTTAACACGTAGATTAATGGTAGAAGTGCAAGGTGATAAACCCTTACGGGGAGAAACTTGGACACATCTGAAAAGAATATAAATGCATTTGCTTTCCCCCCTTGAAATCCGAACTATGAGAATTTATCTTGTAAATACTCTTTCATCCCAATAAAAAGTGTGCATTAAATATTTGCATCATCTAGGATAGCAAGACAAGATAGGAAACTACTCAAGTGCCTATCAGTAGGAGGCTGAATACCCTGATATGTTTATTCACATGATGGAATAATATTTCATGCCAATAAATTTTTCAATTTCTATGGAAAGCTCTCTAGGATACATAATGAACTTCAGAAAAGCAAGACGCAAAGTCGCATAACTGTATGCTGACTTTTGCTAACAAAGGTTGGAGAAATAAAAATTATACTTTGTTCAGTTGATTCTGTACACAGAAGCATTGAAAGGATATAAAGGCAACTGATAAAAATGGTGAGTGAAATTGATAGAAACACAGTGGCAGTAAAAGTTACATTTCTCAGTGTCAACTTTATTGGGTTTGTTCCCATTTGGGGGCATATTATCTACATTATCTATTAAAAATAAAATGTAAATTAATAAAATTTAAAAAGAAAAGAAAAACAATACAATATTGCCTTAAGTTAAAGTAATATTTGAAAACATACCCAGTACTTAAGAAAAGGTAGTTTTTTTTCCACAAAGCCATAGTTTTCTCTTAAGAATATCAGTTTATATCCAAAGTCGTTTCATGGTCCTGAAATTGCTCAGTGGAGCTCCGATCACTTAGAATGCTCGTAAAAAATGCAGATTTCTGGATAGTCCTTGTGAACTTAGTCTTAGAAAGGGAGTTATAATCTCTAGGATTGGGTTTAATAATTTATATTTAAATAAAAAACAGAATTATTCTGGGCATTTCTGTCATTGGGACCCGACTAGAGAAGAGGAGGAATAAGCCACAGAGAACACCAGAGTACCGTTTAGAGGGCCCTAAACTGGGTGGGAGGAAGCAATGGATGGTAGAAATTAGGGGGACAAGAGCAGGGCCAGCAGAGTGTCTCATGCCTGGAATCTTAGCACTTTGGGGAGAACAAGGCTGGAGGATCCATTGAGCTCAGGAGTTCAAGGCCAGCCTGAGCAAGATCAAGTGCAAGACCCCATTTCTACTAGAAACAGAAAAAAAAAATTACCCGAGCATTGTGGTGGGCACCTGTCTGTAGTCCCAGGTACTCGGGAGACTGAGGCAGAAGGATGGCTCGATTCCAAGAGTTTGAGGTTGCTGTGACCTGGATTGACACCACAGCACGCTAGCCTGGGACTAGAGTCTGTCTGAGAGGGAAGCATACATACGGAAAAAACGAAAGGGGAAGCTGTTTATTTACCTCATTAATAGTGACCGATCTCAAAGTACTCCGTTAAATGCACAGAGGTCATTTGATTTCTTCCAAGGCCTCTTCTTTATTATCTGTCCTCACTGGGACACATAGTTTATTTCGATTTATTTCCTAATATTTTTCTTATTCTATCTTTTGTCTATCAACATTCTACCCGGTGAGTGTCCTTTCAATCACCTTGCGGGGGGCACTTATCTTGACTGGCCTTACAAATAATAATGCTCCTCGGTCGTGGCATCATTTTCCCAATCCTCGCGGAGCCGGTCAGTTTTACTATGACCAAGTGCGCATGCCCCATTTTTTCTCCTAAGGGACCCAGACAATTTCGGTAGGTCTGAAGTTGGAGTCATTCATCAAGTAGGCAGCAGGGGGCAGGCATTCCTTACTTTTTGGACCTATATCTCTGCAACCTGAACTTGGCCACTTGAGGGGGCGGGAAGAACTGCAGAGGCTGGGGTTGGGGGGCAGGAAGCAGGATTGATTACCCCTGTGCCTTTCTCAGAGTGAGTGGACCTGCAAATAACGTTTTAGATCCTTGCAATTCTTGAAGCCTTTAGAGTATGTTAATAGACTCACTTTAATTTTTTTTCTCACAATGTTCTTAGTGTGGTACTGAAACCTGAAGAGACTAAAGGAGTAGCCCAAGGAGGAGGAGGCTGAACTGAAACCACCACCCAGGACTTCTTGCTTAAGATTAGGAGTCGAAGGGGGCGGGGTTGGTAGGTGCCATCACTCTACCGGGTACCCTACCAGTGAAGCCCATATCTGGGAGCCCATTTCCTGGGCTCCCATCAGGAGCTGCACCGTGGCTCTGAGACCTGAGGCAGGTCACTAGGCTTCCTAAGCTCTCAATTCTCTATCTGTAAAGTGGGAATAATAATACCCATTATTATTAATGGGGTTGTTGTGAAAGCAAAGGAAACAGCACACGGGAAGATTTATGGTGGACTCTGAATAGAGTCAGTGAGAAGGTTAGTTACCATTACTTTCAAGAAATACTGGCCTAGGGAATGTCACTGCCACAGTAGTTCTCAAGTCTTAGAATGTGCCAGAAGACTTATAAAATACAGCTTGTCCAGAATTTTTGGGTCCGTAGGTGTGAGGGTCGTATTTGCATTTCTCCCAAATTCTGAGCTCATTCTGGGACTGCTGCTCCAAGGAACACTTTAAGAACCATTTTTCTGGAAGGTTCTTCCTTTTCTCAGTACGTTTCCCTGAACTCCTACTTCATCATGTTTTATTTCTTCCATTGCTAGGTGCTTCTTAGATTCCAGGTGTTGTTTAATTACTAGAGGTACCAGGGTGAGGAAGATTTTCCTCTGAGGAGGAAATCTTCCTCATCTCACAGTGAAATGACAATGACAAGATGGACACAGAGGTTGCTCCTATGTGGTGTGAGCATGGCTACGACAGAAGCAGGCAGGGGCAGAGGAGGAACCCCTGACCCAGGGTGCAGAGCCAGTGGGGCCAGTGCAGTGAGGAAGGAGGAGGAAGAGTCTGGAATGGCACTTCTGAGGAGGATGAAGTGAAGGACAGAGGTTGTCCAGAGATGGGCCTGGGTGCTGGGCTTGCTGGCCGGCCCACCTGGACTCTGAGCAACAGAGGGCAGTGGTTCAGAGAGGTGTGGAGAGCCCCCAGGCAGGACCTGTGGGCAGGGCAGAGCAGTGAGACTTCTGCATTTCCCCAGGAGCTTGGATTCTATTTTGAACACAGTGGGAGGTTGGGAAGAGATGCAGTCATGCCACATGGATGGGCGTCTTTGGGAGGAGCCCCTCCAGAGATGTAGGAGATGGGACTGGATGCTGGTGATGGCGCACGAGAGAGATGCTGAGGATGAGAGCTAACGGACTCATCACCCTTCAGACCACAGTCACAGCAGGATATGAGACAGGGCAGACAGAGCATGGGCTTTGGAGCCTAACCCCAGGTGACCCATCTGCAGGGTGTGGCATGTGGGTAAACTTCCAAGCTTCCTGAACCTGCTATTTTTATCTGTGCTGCTGGAATGATAACCCACCCCAGAGGGGAGAGAAAACTGAATGTGAAAATGTCCATAAAGCTCTAGGGATGGTGTATACATGCTGATATTACAATGTGGGATGAAAAAAAGGGCAGATTTCTTAGAAAAATGAAAGATGGAGACCCAGGGTTTCTCTTCTTCCCTCTAGACACCCAAGGACCACATTGGGCAGAAGGGCGAGTGGGCCCTTCTCTACATAGGCCATCTGTTGCCAGGAGGGAACATGAGTTGGGCTGGCACAGGCACATGCAGAAGGGGCTCAGAGAAGCCAAGGCCACCAGTGCTGGGGCTTCTCTGCCCTGGGAATCTGGGTGCAAAGAGGATCCGGCATAGGCAAAGGCAGCAGGAAGGTTTTACATGCCAAAGTCAACCTGTGCACATGTTGGCACATCCAAGACCCACAGAAGGACTGAGATCAAGAAACTTCTTCCACATCAGTTTTCTGAGAACTATTTTTCTCCAGGAAACAGCCGCTGGTGACCCCTGCTTATTTTCTTTCTGGATTCCATCTCTTTGTATATGGCTTTCCATTGTAACATGAACACATTTGGAGAGTGAGAGATGATGAGGGCCACCAGTAGTCAGAACCCTGTCTGGCCTCAGAGCGAGGGAGCTGGAAGGGACAGGCATGGACTCTAGCAGTGAGGACAAAGTCACACTTTTATTGGCATAGTCACGATGGAGGGACTAGGGGGCCTTTAGCTATTGGCATCTATGGTTTTCTGAATCCAGTCCACATAGTTGCACACCTTAGTATAGATTCCAGGCATGTCCTTCTGGCCACAGCCATAGGCCCAGGAGGTGATTCCCTGGAGCTCTCCATTGCAGGCCACAGGGCCACCAGTGTCACCCTGGGGAGAAGGAAGGATGAGGTGTGTGAAGAGGGGGATGAGGAGGAATATAAATAGTTACAATTCCTCTGAACCTTAAGAAGCCCTGTTCTAATCAGCTGTGTGCTCCACACCCCTCTCTGTGGCCCATTCCCTGTTCTTACAAAGGAGACAGCACTTGGCCCAGATGAGCCTTCCTTGCTTCTCCAGGGGCCACTGCATGGAGCTTTCTCAGCCTCCAAAACTTGGGTGTTCGAATCTGGCTCCCAGTTGCCACTGGCCTGTGGGTGATGTCTCAGAGTGGACAGGGGTCAAATCACCTGGCAGGAATCCTTGCCGCCCTCGAGGAAGCTGGCACAGATCATGTTGCTGGTGATCTCTCCAGGGTAGGCAGCCTTGCACTGGGCATCACTCATCAGGGGGACCTTCACACACTGCAGCAGGTCTGGGTAGTTGCCTTTGAGGATCAGGAAGAGGTCAAGGAAAGGCGATATTAACTCAGGCCAAAATGGGGAGACATTTGCCTACTGCTGACCCTGAGGCTCCTATAAGAGAGGCCCCTTGCAACCTAAGCCAGAGCAAGAAACAAGGGCTTTCAGTTCCCACAATGGCCATCCTGGACCTCCCACCACACATCCAGAGATGGGGTCATGGCAAGGTGACTATTTGTGCTCTCTTGGATTCTAGGAGCCACTTCTTCCTGACCTTGCATCTCTCAGGCACCTGGTCTAGAACATTGTGTGTAGTGGATATTAGAAATGTATTTTCAGCCTGGAAGCAAAAGGGCTCAAGTTCAGGGGTGTGCTTGGTTCTGGACAACATGAGGATCGAGGATGGTGGGAGGGCGGAGGATCTGGACTCACCAGGATTCCTGAGGGTTTTGCCCCAGCCGGAGATGAGGCACTCAGTGCCGGCAGGCGCACAGGCAGTGGGCAGTGATATGGGGGACACATGGGCGTTGAGCGTGGCAGGCGAGGCCAGCTTGATCAGCATGATGTCATTGTCCATGGTCCAGATATCATAGTTGGGGTGGCGGATGACCTTGGCCGAGTTGATGACCTGTTCCTTGCCCTCCGGGACTTTAATGTTGTGCTCTCCCAGCCTCACTTGGAAGTGACTGTAGGGAGGGGAGGTGTGGAGAAGGCCTGATGCCCCCTCCCCACTCTCCCCACGGTGCTGACGCTGCCTGCTTATGGAGACCCTCAGGGTGAGGTCTGTGGCAGTACCCTGGTGTCAGTGCAGGTGTGTGAATGGGTCAGAGGTAGGGGCTGGTGGGGTGTGATGAGTGAAGGGATCCATTTGGGGCTGCCCCTCTATCTGTGTCCCCAGTCTCCTTTGCCTCACCCCTTTGGGCATGCAGTGCTATGGGCTGAGAAGAGCCACTTGAAGCTTCCCAGGCATTTTTCCCCCCTTGTTCCCTACAGACTGACTTCTACTCCCTCCCTTCTTGGTTTGCCGAGTACACCACTCTTTCTTCATGACTACATATAGGGCCCTCCCAGTGTGGCCCAGGACCTACAGTATCAATGTCACCTGGGCACTTGTTGGAAATACAAATCTTGGTCCCTCCTCAACCTCCTCCATAGGACTTTGGGGATGGACCCCAGAGATTTGTTTTAACAAGCCCCGTAGTTGGCTCTGATGCACTCTCTGGCTTGAGAACCTTCCATGCAGGCAGTGGATGTCAGCTCTGTCTGCACTGTAGAATCCAGAGGTAGGGAGTATGAAAGACCCATGTTCACAGCCTCTTCATAAATATTCTGAGCTAATGGCCCTGGGATAAGACCCAAACATGATTTTTTTTTCTTTCTGTTTCTTATTTATTGGTTAGACATAGTCTTAGTTTGTTCCCCTTAGTCCGGTGCCTGGCTCCATAGCTCACTGCAACCTCAAACTCTTGGGCTTAAGTAATCCCCTTGCCTCAAGTTCCTGAGTGACTGGCATTAAAGGCGCCCACACCAACGCCTGGCTATTTTTTTTTTTTTTGAGCCTGGAGTCTCATTCTTGCTCAGGCTGGTCTCGAACTCCTTAGCTCAGGGATTAACCCACGTCAGCCTCCCAGATTGCTAGTTCTTATGTGTTTTTAATGTGTAGCCAAGTGGCTAAAAATACTTTCCCACTGGCTCTTACCTCCCCCAAATACTCCCTATCTGCATTTATGACCCACAAGCCCTGCCGTTGTGTGGAATTGTTTGGGTGTGAGAGGCTTTCCGGAGGTCCCTTCTTCACCCTTGGCTCTGCAAGTCAGCTGCTGCCGCTGGATTCTCTTCTTCATCATGATTCCCCTCCATCTCCCCTTGCCTTGGGGCCCCTGGGCTGCGAAGGACCTGGGCTGTGGGCTTTGCGGCCAGGGACTTGTCACTTACGACTTGTAGCACCGAGCTGATGACACCACCCACTCGTCGTTGATAAGGGAGCCTCCACACCCACGGGTGATTTGGGAGCCAGAGTTCAGGGACACCTGATAGGGGACAGAATTCTCCGTGCAGGTGTAGCCCCCGACGATCTTGTCATCATTGTCAGCAGGGAAAGCAACTTGAGTAGGCACAGGAAGGGAGAAACCAGATCAGCAGGATGTTGGGGCCAGAACTGTCAGCCCTGTGCCTAGCTCATGTTCAGGAGGGCTTCTCAGCAAGCCCAGAAATGCCAGGAAAGGGAGCAGGTGCTGCTTGCCGCAGGGTGTGCCACAGAAGGTGGCTGCCCAGTCTCGGCACAGCTATACATGCTAGGGCTCAGCTCTCCCCTGGGGGCATCAGCACTCATTATGCTCTTCATGGGATAGGAGTTGGCATGTGATTGTCTCACCATCGACCACTTCTTTCCCTCACTCATCCCTTCTATGCTCGCTATGCCTGTCTGAGTCCTAGACCATTAAGACAGTTTAGACTAAATAGGAATATCTTCTGACTGTACCCGTGTCTCTGTAGCTCAGATACAATACAGTGAGGACAGAGAGGAGGCAGCCCCCAGACCCACTCCAGCAGGACACAGATAGGCATTGCTATTGGCCTGTACAACTGTGATTCTTAACCTTGGTTGCACACCTGGAAATGTTAAAATCACCTGGGAAGCTTAGAAACATAATACACAGGATGCACCCCAGACAAAGAAAGTCAGAATTTCCAGGGCTACATCTCTGGCTTGAGTATTTTCTCAGCCTCCCCAGGTGTGCGCCAGGTTCTAAGCAGCTATTCAGCACTGCAGCGCTGCCCCAGAGCTGCTTGAGTCCAGCCTGCAGCTGGCGGTTTCCTGGCATGGCATTTCCACCTGGTCCCTCTCTCAAGCTTCCCCTACCTCTGTATGAATGATGGTGGTGGGAAAGGAATCAGGGAAGAGGTGAGAGAGCTGTGGCTGACAGAGAGCCCATTGCACAGGTGAAATGGGAGGGACAGACAGGCAGCAGGAATAGTAGGGCATGTATCTGCCAGGAAGAGGGTGGTTGTGGCCTGAGGCAAGGCCTGGAACTCACCAGCAGCACTCACAAAGGCTAGGATCAGGAGTGTGTTCATGGTGGTGAGGAGTGATGGGGCAGGTGGTGGAGTACTGGTCTTTATATCTCCAGACATGAGAGATGGAGGGCCACCACTCCACCCAGAACAAACACACCTGCAGCTGTCCTTTCTCAGGCTGTAGTATGGGCTCTGTTGTGTTTGCCCACTGTGTAGATTTGTAACTTGCAGGTGATATGAAAACTGCCAGAGAGTCAACTTTTGCATATGGTAGTGGGGGAGGCAGGTGGAATAGATCCAGTCCAGTCTTCTGGATGTCTTTGCCCTCGATCCCCACTGGGTTGGGATTCTGAAGCTCTCAGCCTACTTAATAGACATGCCTTCACCTTTCCAAACCGTGTTTTTGACCAATCAGTGGTTTTCCCAGGAAAGTGTTTTTCACTCAAGTGTCCCCAGGAGTTGCTGTCCAACTCAGCAGGTGTGCCAGATCTGACTTCACACTAGGACCCTGTGGACTGATCCTGCAAGGCAGGTCTCTCCCACAATGGTTGCTCCTAACCAGAAGATTAATGATGAGAGCTCTGCTCTGCCTGGTGGCTCAATCCCAGCCCCAGGGATTGAGTTCAAGATCACTTGTTTGCCCAAGCTCTCCCTGGTAACTCCTGAAAATACCCAGGTTCAAAACCAAAAAGGCCTTCTCTGTCTGAAACCCTCCACTGAACTGGTTGGCTTCTGCCAGCATGCAAGAACTTCCCTTCTGTGCCAGTTCTCCATTGCTCTGGACCTCTTCATTATCTCCTGAAGTCTCCAGCAGTATCCCTGTGCCCCCAAAGTGATATTTCTGGGCAGGATCCCTCACCCAGAGGTGGATAGAATTCTTTCTCTCAAATCTTACCACAAGTGGCTGCCAAGGAGATATCATTTGTCCACCATCTTGTTCTGCCCCCTCCCATCTTTGTTTCTTTTTAAATAGCAATATTAGTACAGGGTCAACTGTAATGACATCCCAGGGTATTTAAATAGGACACAGCTCTCTCAAATATGGCTTTGGTAACTGGGTAGTGATATATTATATCCCTAGAGAAAATTTTCTAACTTTAGTTTTTTTAACGTTCATCTCTTTAAAATAACTTGTCTATTTTTTGCCTTTACTGCTTAGGGAGTTAAAAATGCACCAATTTTTAAAGCATGGATATGAATCATTTAGGCAAAATTGGAATTTGTTCTATTCTTGGGCCACCTAGATGATCATATATTTGATCATTTCCACCCAGAATGGCTGTAATGATTCTTCAAGGACTAATACGTGGCCTCACTGTGTAAATGGAGCCTCTGCTGTCACAGTCTTTCCTACACGGTAAAGGAGGGGGAACAGGGCCTGGCTCTACTCAGTGACTTGCATCATCAGGTGTGGCCTAGGGGCCATTGGGGAGCTCTATGTCTCTGTCATTACTCACCAATGCATGGGAGTGGATATGCATGACAGAGCTCAGATATCAGGGCTCATAGCCTCAAAGATACTCAAGAGATATGTGTGCCTTGGGAAAGCTCTCCCTAACATAATAGAGAAGCCATTTCTCATCTTCTCTATCACCTTTTAATACCAGAGTTTAACATTACATTTCTGATCATTCTGGGAGTGATTAGGTGCTCCATGTCTGGGAGACTCCAAAATCTAGGACTTATGAGGCAAGTCTGACTTTACCATATACTATCCTAAAGAAGCTTTTTACCTACCCAAGATGGAGAGCTTAGTTCCACTACTGAAAAATAGCTTTTCTTTAGTTGCACAACTTGAAAGCTTGCTAGGAAAAGTACCACCTGCTACTTTTATTCCTGCCTTCCCAAATCCACCTCATCTCCCATCTTTTAGGAGATTTTTAACTGTGGGATGTGGATTGGTAGACAGTGATGAACCTAACATGTCATTGTCAGAGGACCAATTAGGCCCTATATGGCTTCTCATGTTCCCTTACCTGTGTCCCTCTCCCTTCTGCATGAGGGAGAGAAATGGCAGTACCATGAACCTGTGAGCTCAGAGGCTTTCCCATTTATCATGGCCATGATGGGCACCCTCCAAGGAGACAGGAGTCGGACAAGGTGATCCCTTCCTAGCCCGGCCTACTTGCCTCCTGATAGGGGATCCCAGGCTTGGCACAGCCAGTCCATGAAATTCTGGAGATGGAGGCTGTCTCTTCCTTGTCTGCCTTAAGACAAGAATTCAGATTTTTCTGGTACAAGCATGCTTTAATATAAGCACCCAAGATAAAGGCTCCATCTGCATCCCAGCCCCTCCTTGCAGGTTCCCTGCTCCCAGTCTTATCTTACTAACCTGTGACAGCGAGCCGACTTCCCTCTGCAAAATAGATGTTACTTCCAGAACACAGCTTCCTGGGGCCACTTCAAAATCTCCCATCAGTGGCTGAGCTCAGGTGGGATTCAGGCAGGGGTTGGGCTTTTATGTATCTCTTTTTTTCACAAAGTCAACAGAAATGCTTCTGACACTACAGATACTCCTTGAGAGCATGCCACAAGCTGAGGCAGGGAAGAACAGCCATCCCATGAAATCTAGAGCAGGAAGATATGAATCCTCTGCTGAAATCCTCTGCTGATGAAGATGACAGTCAGGTGTCACAGCTTGTTCATTACCTGGACTTTCTCCCAGTCTTTATCTTGAGGAACCCCATGGAAAGGCAGCACTGTGTCCTTTCTCTTCCCTGCCCTGCAACCCTGAGTTTCCAGAATGCCTGGATGGATCCAACCTCCCAGGGAACCTCCCCTGAACTCAATCACAGATATAAGATGGCATCTCCCTCAATAAGGACCCAGAAGCTGATGCTCCCCTTCCCTTTGATATTTCCTGAGATGAAGTCCTTCTTCATGACACCCCATGTAGAGACCCCCAGCCTTACCTACAACCAAAGGTGTAGTCATAGTTGACACATCAGAATGAGGCCACTCTAAAATGGACATCTTAGACCTATCTTTCCCCACTGTGGACTTGGGAAGTCTTCCCTACAACTGTAAGCCTGGTGCCTTCTCCAAAGAAAACTTTGGTGTTCAGATAGTGACATGGATGACAGAAAAGAATTTCAAGGCATGGAGAGGAGAGGGCACTCTGGCTCATGTCTGGAGGATGACATCCCCCTCTTGTGCTTTATGGGTATTGCACAGAACACCTTTAACTTTTGACTTTTGAGATCATCGAACATGGCAGATTCCATCCAGAGAGTGCTAGCCCCATTACTCAGAGGATGCTCCATACAGATTCTCCCTCTCTGAGGCCACATCAAAAGAATATGACTTCATGCATTGATAGCCTGGCTTCTTCCTGAGTTCTATGTAGAGCTATTCACCTCCCATGCACCTTCCCACTGACCTTGTCCCTGAGTTTGTCACCTGTGAGTCCTCTGATACATCCTTGCTACATATGTGTCCTCTCTGCCTGGGAAGCTTTGGTTATGATCTAGGCTTGTCTTTGTCCATGGCCTTGGTCTGACTTGTGATCCTTGGTGAGGAAGGCAGTCTGGCCCAAACCACACTTGGGCTTGGGACCCAGAAGAAAAGTAGAGGGAATGTGGGTGTTAGACCAGATAGAAAGGTTTTTTATAAAGGATTCCCATATAGTTGAATCACCATGCCCCCCCATCCTCACAATGTCAATGTTATAGTCTTGTACAAAAGTGATCCTTCCCATGGCCCTGTCCCCCAAGGCTGGAAGAGACTGCCAGAGTAGCTGCTCCTTTGAGCGCAGTGGATGACATCACCCCTTATTGTGGGAGGAGGTGGTGGTAGGGACCAGGCTCAAGGCTCCCTCCTCACCCCTACTCCCTGTTGTCAGAGCATTCTGGCCTTCTCAGAGCTGTGTGTCTTTGTAAGGCTGTCTGGTGAGGGGAATGGTCTCCCCAGTATCTAACCCTCTCCAAAGCTGTCATCATAGTAGGGAACCTCCCTGTCAGGAAGCCACAGCCCCTATCTACCTTGGCCCCCCCTCAAGCTGGAGAATCATCTTTCCTCCAAGAATGACACTCTTCTGTACCCAAACTATGGTCTCTTTGGCCAACTCTGACTCAGGGTTGGTCAGCTGAGGTCTGGAGTTCTTTAGAGATTTGACCATGAGCTACACGGACTGGGGGCTTGGCTGCATTTCCAGGAATGGGTGTGTGGTGAGAGAAGACCCCTGTTGTCAGCTGTCATGACCTCTCATTGTTGGCCTCAGAAATCAGTGAGTTAAAAGGAAGTGAGAAAGTGGACGGATCAGCAGAGAATGTCTGACAAGCATTTAGATATAATCATGAGGCCACATAGTCATGGTCACAGTCTTTCCTGATGAAGAGAGAAATTCTAAGTTGCTAATAGATAGTTTATTTACCTTGCACATTGGACTCACACTTGAGTAGCCCAGATGGTGACTCATTTCATTGCCTTTTAAGCTGTGACTTAAAATCCATAAAAAGAAAAAAAAAAGGCAAACTTGACTACATAATAATGACACACTTACATGGTAAAATATAAACAGAATCAAAACTCTGGAAAAAATATCTGCAATTCTCATAAGAATGATTAATTTCCCCAATATATGATGAACTTCTAGAAATCTGGTAAGAAAATAACCTGGCAGTTCAGTAAAAATGGGCAAAGAGTAGGTGGTTCAGAGAAAAAGAAATCCAAATGATGCATACCTATCAGGAGGGAAAAATCCTTACAATGGTAAACATAAAGTAAGACTACATTCAGAAACTATTTTTTTGATAAAAAAAAAGGGTTACAGACAAATATTTTATGATACTAGGTAGTTTTTTATTTAATAGCACTTGAGACATTGATTCCCACTAGGAGCTCAAGACCATAAACCTTATGAGGAGAAATTTGGATCTTCTAAAAAGAATATAAATGCACTTGTTTTCCCCCTCAGAAATCCCACCTATGTGAATTTATCTTGTAAATACTCTTAATGGAAAATGCGCATTAAATATCTGGATCATCTAGAATAGCATAGTTTTTAATAGGAAAAAACTTAAGTGCCCGTCAGTAGGAGACTGAATTAATATACCCTGATATGTTTGTTGACATGATGGAATAGTATTTCAAACTAATAAATTTTCCAATTTCTCTGGAAAGCTCTCTAAGATACATTATTAACTGGAGAACGGTAAGCTGCAAAACCACATCACTGTATGCCAACTTTTGATAATAAAGGTGGAGGTGGTGTACAGAAGCACTGAAAAGGTACAAAGGCATTACTTTTCAAAAATTAGAGAAAAAAAGAAAGGGGAGACGGTTATTTACTGTCATTAATAATGTCAGATCTCAAAATACTCTACCAAAAGCCCAAAGGTTGGTTGATTTCATCCAACGACAAGGTCTCTTCTTTATTACCTGTCCTTAATGGAACACATAGTTTATTTTGATTTATTTCCTCATATTTTTCTTACTCACTGTTTTGCCTATCAACATTTTACCCTGTAAGTGAGTATCCTTACAATTACCTTGCTGGGTGCACTTATCCCGACTGGCCTTACAAATAATAATGCGCATCATGGTTTCTCCTAATCCTCATGGAGCCAATTTTACTATGTCCAAGTGCACATGTGCCATTTTTCTCCTCAAGGGACCCAGACCATTTCAGCAGGTCTCAAGTTGGAGTTATTCATCAAGTCAGCAGCTGGGACAGCTTTCCTTACATTTTGGACCTATATCTCTGCAACTTGAACTTGGCCACTTGAGGGGCAGGAAGAATGTACAGAGGCTGCCTGGGTTGATGTAGGGAGGAAGCAGGGTTACCAGTGCCTTTCTCAGGGTGTGTGTTGAGGAGACCCGCAAAAAACATTTTAGTCACATGCAATTCTTGTAGCCATTCAAGCATGTTAGTAGACTCCCTAAATTTTTCTCTCACTGTTCTCATTTGCAGACCTGAAACCTTAAGAGGCTAAAAAGGAGTAGCTCAAACATGAGGAGGCTGAGCTGAAACCACCATGCAGCACACCTTGCTTAAGATCAGGAGTCAGAAGGGAAGGAGGATTGGCAGGTGCCACCACACTCTGCGGTGGACCTGACCAGTGAAACCCTTCTCTTGGAGCTCAGGTTTTCACCAGGCACTGCCCTAAGGCCATGAGACCTGGCACGGGCCTCGTAGACTCTTAGCCTCCTTATTCATAGAATGAGAATAATAATAGTAATGCACACCTTCAGGGGTTGTAGTGAGACCAAAGGAGAGAGGACACGTGAGGATTTATCCTGGCCTGTCACCCTAGCTCAAGCGGCTGAGACACCAGCCACATACACCAGAGCTGGAGGGTTCGAATCCGGCCTGGGCCTGCCAAACAATGACAACTACAACCAAAAAATAGCCAGGCATTGTGGTGGGCACCTGTAGTCCCCCCTACTCAGGAGGATGAGGCAAGAGAATCGCTTAAGCTCAGGAGTTGGAGGTTGCTGTGAGCTGTGACAGCACAGCACTCTATCCAGGGCAATAGCCTGAGGATCTGTCTCCAAAAAAAAAAAAAAAAAAAGATTTATTCTGGTGCCTGGAAGGGGTCAGTGAGAATGTCAGTTAGTATTATTGTCACAGAAATACTGGCCTAGCGAAAATCTCTGCCATGGTGGTTCTCAAGTCTTAGTGTGCAGCAGAATGAGCTGGAAGACTTGTAAAATGCAGTTTGTCCAGAATTTCTGGGTCAGTTGGGGGAGGGGGGTTCTATTTGCTTTTCTCCCAGATTCCCAGGTCATTCTGGGAGTGCTGCTTCAAGGAAGACTTTAAGAACCATTCTTCTGGAAGGTTCTTTCTTTTCTCAGTACATTCCCCTCCACTCCTACTTCATGTTTTATTTCCTCCATTGCTAAGTGCTTCCTAGATTCCTAGGTGTTGTTTAATTACTAGAGGTACCAGGGTGAGGAAGACAAATTTCCTCCCCAGAGGGCTCACAGTAGAATGACAATGACAAGATAGACACAGAAGTTGCTCCTATGTGGCGTGAGCATACCTAGGACAGAAGCAGGCAGGGGCAGAGGAGGACCCCCCGACCCAGGGCACAGAGCCAGAGGGGCCAGTGCAGTGATGAAGGAGGATGAAGAGTCTGGAATGGCATTTCTGCAGATGAAGTGGAGGATTAAGGTTGTTCAGAGATGGGCCTGGGTGCTGTGTATGCTGGGTAACAGAGGGCAACCATGCACAGAGGTGTGGAGAGCCCCCGGGCAGGACCTGTATGTAGGGCTAGAGCCAGGTGACTCTTACTCTTCCCCGGGAGCTTGGATCCTATTTTGAACATGGTGAGAAGTGATTTAGTCACGCCACATGGATGGGCGTCTTTGGGAGGAGCCCCTCCAGAGACACAGGAGGCGGGAACTGGATGCCAGTTATGGCGCACGAGAGAGATGCTGAGGATGAGAGCTAACGGACTCATCACCCTTCAGACCACAGTCACAGCAGGATGTAAGATAGGGCAGACAGAGCATGGGCTTTGGACTCTAACCCCAGGTGAACCATCTGCAGGGTGTGGCATGTGGGTAAACTTCCAAGCTTCCTGAACCTGCTATTTTTATCTGTGCTGCTGGAATGATAACCCACCCCAGAGGGGAGAGAAAACTGAATGTGAAAATGTCCATAAAGCTCTAGGGATGGTGTATACATGCTGATATTACAATGTGGGATGAAAAAAAGGGCAGATTTCTTAGAAAAATGAAAGATGGAGACCCAGGGTTTCTCTTCTTCCCTCTAGACACCCAAGGACCACATTGGGCAGAAGGGCGAGTGGGCCCTTCTCTACATAGGCCATCTGTTGCCAGGAGGGAACAAGAGATGGGCTGGCACAGGCACATTCAGAAGGGGCTCAGAGAAGCCAAGGTCACCAATGCTGGGGCTTCTCTGCCCTGGGAATCTGGGTGCAAAGAGGATCCAGCATAGGCAAAGGCAGCAGGAAGGTTTTACATGCCAAAGTCAACCTGTGCACGTGTTGGCACATCCAAGACCCACAGAAGTACTGAGATCAAAAAACTTCTTGTACATCATCTCCCTTTTCTCTAGAAAACAGCCCTCGTGACCTGCTTATTATCTTTCTGGTTATTACCATCTCTTTATATGTGGCTAATCCAGTATACTGTGAAAACATTTGGGAAGTAAGAGACGAGCTACCCCACCCCCACCCCCCGAGACAGAGTGCTGTCTGGCCTTAGAGCGAGGGAGCTAGAGGGAACAGGCATGGACTCTGGCAGTGAGAATAAAGTCACATCTTTATTGGCATAGTCACCATGGAGGGACTGGGGGCCTTTAGCTATTGGCAGCTATGGTTTCCTGAATCCAGTCCACATAGTTGCACACCTTGGTGTAGACTCCAGGCCTATCCTTCTGGGCACAGCCATAGCCCCAGGAGACGATTCCCTGAAGCTCTCCATTGCAGACCACAGGGCCACCAGAGTCACCCTGGGGAGAAGAAAGGACAAGATGTATGAAGATGAAAATGAGGAGGAATATAGCTACACTCACTCTGAACCTTAAAAGGCCCCACTCCAGTCTGCTGTGTGCTCCACACCCCTGTCTCTGTGACCCATTCCCTGTTTTTACTAAGGAGACAGCATTTGAACCAGATAAACCTTACTCACTTCTCTAGGGGCCACTGCATGGAGCTTTCTCAGCCCCCCAAACTTGAGAGTTCAAATCTGGCTCCCAGATGCCACTGGCCTATAGGTGATTTCTCAGAGTGGAAAGGGGTCAAATCACCTGGCAGGAATCCTTGCCTCCCTCAAGGAAGCCGGCACAGATCATGTTGCTGGTGATCTCCCCAGGGTAGGAGGCCTTGCACTCAGCGTCACTCAGCAGGGGGGCGTTCAGGCACTGCAGCAGGTCTGGGTAGTTGACTTTGAGGAGCAGGAAGATGTCAAATAAAGGAGAAATTAACTCAGGTCAGAATAGGGGGTACAGTTACCTACCACTGACCCCGAGGCCTGCTATAGGAGAGGCCCCTGAAACACAAGCCAGAGCAAGAAACAAGGAGCCACTGACTCTGAGTTTCAGTTCCTATGATGGCCATTCTGGACCCCCAGCAACCCAGACGGGATCATGGCAAGGTGACAATTTGTTGTCTCTCTGGATTCTAGGAGCCACTTCCTCTAGACCTTGCATCTATTATGCACCTGGTCTAGAACCTTGTGTAGTGGACACTAGAAATATATTTTCAACCTGGAAGCAAAGGGCTCCAGTTCAGGGGTGTGCTTGGTTCTGGGGAACATGAGGACAGAGGGTGGTGGGAGGGTGGAGGGTCCTGACTCACCCCCATTGCTCAGGGTGTTGCCCCAGCCGGAGATGAGGCACTCGGTGCCGGCGGGCGCACAGGCACTGGGAAGGGATATGGCGGCTACGCGGGTGTTGAGGGTGGCAGGCGAGGCCAGCTTGATCAGCATGATGTCGTTGTCAATGGTCCAGCTGTTGTACTTGGGGTGGCGGATGACCTTGGCCGAGTTGATGAACTGTTCATTGCCCTCGTCGACTTCTATGTTGTGCTCTCCCAGCCTCACTTGGATGCGGCTGTAGGAAGGGGAGGTGTTCTGAAGGCCTGATGCCCCCTCCCTGCTGTCCCCAGAGTACTCGTGCTCCTGCTCAAGGCTCTGCCCAGGGTGGCATGTGTGGCAGCACCCTGGTGTCAGTGCAGGTGTGGGACCTAGGTCAGAGGTGGGTGCTGGTGGGATGTGATGAGTGAAGGGATCCATATGGGGCTGCCCCTCTATCTGCATCCCAAGTCTCCTTTCCCATAGCCCCTTGGGCACCCAGTGTTATGGGATTAGAAGAGCCACTTGAAACTTCCCAGACATTTTTTTATTTCTGCCCTTGCTCCCTACAGACTGGCTTCTACTCCCTCTCTTCTTGGCCTGCTGAGCACCCCCTTTCTACATGACCACATCTAGAGCCCTCCCAGTGTGGCCCAGGACCTGCAACATCAGTGTCATCTGGAACTTGTTAGAAATACAAATCTTGGTCCCTCCCCAGCCTCCTCCATAGGACTTTGAGGATGGGCCCCAGAGATTTGTTTTAACAAGCCCTGCGTGTGGCCCTAATGCGCTCTCTGGCTTGAGAAACTTCCATGCAGGCAGTGGTTGTCAGCTCTGTCTGGACTGTAGAATTCCAGAGGTAGGGAGTGTGAAAGATCCATGTAGCCTTCGTGAATATTCTGAGTTAATGGCCCTGGGAGCCAGGCATGACTATTTTTTTTTCTTTCTCTTTCTTATTCTGTTAAAATATTCTGACTGTTTTTCTTTGTTTGTTTGTTTGTTTTGAGACATAGTCTCAGTTTGTTACTCTCAGTAGGATTCCGTGGATCCATAGCTTACAGCAACCTCAAATCTTGGGCTTAAGCAATCCCCTTGCCTCAACTTGCTGAGTAGAGACCACAGGCACCCACCACAATACCTGGCTAGATTTTTTTTTTTTTTTTTTTTTGAGACAGGGTCTCACTCTGTGTTCAGCTGGTCTCGAACTCCTTAGCTCAGGAATCAACCCACCTCAGCCTCCCAGTGTGTTAGTTCTTACATATTTTTAATGTGCAGCCAAGTGGCTAAAAATACTTTCCCAGTGACCTTGACCTCCCCCAAATAATCCCTGTCTGCTTTTATGACCCATGGCCACTGCTGTTGCATGGATTTGTTTGGTTGTGGAGGCTTCCCAGAGGTCCCTTCTTCACCCTTGGCTCTGCACATCCACTACTGCCACTGGCTTCCCTCCTCCATAACTATTCCCCTCCATGTCTCCTGACCTGGAAGCCTCTGTGCTCTGAAGGACCTGAGCTGTAGGCTTTGCAAACAGGGGCCCAGCACTTACGACTTGTAGCAGTGAGCTGCTGACACCACCCACTCTTCATTGATAAGGGAGCCTCCACAGAAATGGTAGCCGGAGTTCAGAGACACCTGGTAGGGGACTGAATTCTCCGCACAGGTGTAGCCCCCGACGATCTTGTCATCATCGTCAACGGGGAAAGCAACTTGAGTAGGCAGAGGAAGGGAGAAGCCAGATCAGCAGGATGTTGGGGCTGGAACTGTAAGCCCTGTGCCTGGCCCCTGCTCTTGGGAGCTCTTTAGCAAGCACAGAGATGCCAGGCAAGGGAGCAAGTGCTGCTTGTTACAGGAGGTGGCTTCCCAGTCTTTGCATAACTATGCATGCTAGGGGCTCAGCCATTCCCTGGGGGCACCAGGCTGAAGACAGAGCAGTGCCCTCATTATGCTTCATGGGATAGGAGTTGGCATGTGGTTGTCTCACCATTGCCCATTACTTTCCCTCGCTCATCCCTTCTCTGCTCTCTATGCCTGAGTCCTTGACTATCTGAAAAGTTTAGTCTAAGTAGGAAACTATTCTGACTGTACCCAGCATCTCTGTAGCTCAGGTCTATACAGTGAGGACAGAGAGGTGGCAGCCCCCAGACCCACTCCAGCAGGACACAGATAGGCATTGCTACTGGCCAGTACAACTGTGATTCTTAACCTTGGCTGCACACCTGGAAATGTTAAAATCACCACATAGTACATAGGGTGCACCCCAGACAAAGAAAGTCAGAATTTCCAGGGCTAAGTCTCTGGCTTGAGTACTTTTTCAGCCTCCCCAGGAGAGCACCAGCCATTCAGCACTGCGGAGCTGCCCCAGATCTGCCTGAGTCCAGCCTGCAGCTGGCAGTTTCCTGGCATGGCATTTCCACTTGGTCCTCCTCTCAAGCTTGCCCCATCTCTGTATGATTGATGGTGGTGGGAAAGGAATCAGGGAAGAGGTGAGAGAGCTGTGGCTGACAGAGAGCCCATTGCACAGGTGAAATGGGAGGGACAGACAGGCAGCAGGAATAGTAGGGCATGTATCTGCCAGGAAGAGGGTGGTTGTGGCCTGAGGCAAGGCCTGGAACTCACCAGCGGCACCCACAAAGGCTAGGATCAGGAGTGTGTTCATGGTGGTGAGGAGTGATGGGGCAGGTGGTGGAGTACCAGTCCTTATATCTCCCAGGCATGAGAGAAGGAGGGCCACCACTCCGCCCAGAACAAACATACCTGCAGCTGTCCCTTTCCCAGGCTGTTGCATCAGCTGTGCTGTGTTTCCCCACCCTGTGGAATTCTGACTTGCACGTGATAAGGAAAGTGCCTCAGAGTCAACTTTTGCATACGGTAGTAGGGGAGGCATGAAACAAACATTTTTCCAAACAGGGAAGTACAAATTCTAAATCATGTCAATTAGTGCTATTGGGGGTACCACCTAGTCACGAAATGGAAGCTACCCTGGGAATGGGTACTCTAACCAAAGGTTAATTCCTGGCGGGGGCTGACAGTGGAGTTCTAGCAGCAAAAACAGCTTCTAAACTGGAGAAATCAACTCATTAGTTTCATGAAGAGGAAACTGCCTACTGATATATTCTCTCTTTTTTTTAAGACCCTGGTGAACTCTTTAACTTTTTATTTTTGCTGAATTGTCTTTTTTATTGATTGATGTGGGGGGATTCCTTATATTATGGTTCCAGCTGTTTCTCAGATATACTTGTATCTTGTCTTAATATTAATAATATATTTCGATGAACTTTTTTAATGTTTTGATAATGACCTTTTTTAATGGTTCGAACATTCTTTATTCTCTTTAAAAAATCTTTGCCTATCCCATAATAGAAGAGAGTTTGCTATGCTTCCTTCTAGAAGCTTTGAAGTTCTATTTTTTTGATCTTCCAAGAGTTTTTATGTCTCATACCAATTCTTGTTTATGGAAAAGATCAGAAAAGTTTCTCTGTAAAGGGTCACATAGTAAACATTTTAGTTTTGTACATCATGCAGTCTTTGTCCTGACTACTCAATTCCCCTTGCAGTGCAGAGGCTGTGTTCCAATGAGCTTAACTTATGGACACCGAAATTTCAATATCATATAATTTGCATATGTCACAAAATGCAATTCTTCTTATTTTTTTCAATCCATTGCTAGCTTCTGGGCCATGTAAAACAGACAGCAGACAGATTTCTCCCTCTCTTATTGGTGGCATGAGATAAGGATGGAGATTCATGACTTTTCCATATAGAAACAATGTTTTTCCAGCACTGTTTACTAAAAAGACTCTCTCTCTCTGCTTTATGCTACTGTTAGCATTTGATCTGGGGATTATAAATGCAGCTTTGATGTACCACATACTACCTGTACAAATATTCCACTATTTAACTATAGGTTTTTCACTAATGCCAATTAATAAGTGAAGGAAGTTTCCTATTACTCTGAGTTTGTTAACAGTTGTTTTCAGTAATGGATATTAAATTCTGTCAAATATTTTGATATCTATAGACATGATTATATTGTCTTCCATTTTTTAGTAAATATAGGATGAATTTCATATATTGTTTTTTGAGTGTTAGATGAACTGTGAATTACTGAGATAAATCCCCCTTGATTATGGTTTATTATCCTTTTTAGGTATTGGATGGGTTATGCCATAATTTTAAAAATATCACTGAATCTGTGTTCCTGAGGAATATTGGTCTGAGGTTTTTTGTAGTCATCTTTGTCAAATTTTGGTATCAGAGTAGTTTGGGCTCCAAAATGAGCCAAGAATCATTCCCCACTTTTCAGATTTCCTCTTAAGTACTGTCTTAGTGAGGTCCTATCAATTTCAATGATTATTTTTATTCATTTTAAAACATTTTTATTTTTGAACATTCTCAAAGAAACAATTTTTTTGTTTTTAAATGCATAAAATATTTTAATACAGAGGATTATAATGAAACCAGTTATATTGACATATAGTTACCAGACTTTATTTTATTGTTGGGGATTCATTGAGAGTACAAGAAACCAGGTTACATTGATTGCATTTGTTAGGGAAAGACCTTCTTACAATCGTGTCATGCCCCCAAAAGGTGTGGCACACACCAAGACTCCACTCCCCTTCTCCTTTCCTTTCTCTGCTCTTCCTTTCCCCACCCCTCCCTCCTTGTTTCTCTCTTTGCTGTCTCCTCCCCCCATGCCCACCATGTCATTAATTGTCCTCATATCAAAATGGAATACATCAGATTCATGCTTCTCCATTGTTGTGATGCTTTACTAAGAATAATGTGTTCCATTTCTATCCAGGTTAATACAAAGGCTGTAAAGTCTCCATTTTTTTAATGGCTGAATAGTATTCCATAGTGTACATATACCACAGCTTGTTAATCCATTCCTGGGTTGCTGGGCATTTAGGCTGTTTCCACATTTTGGTGATTGTAAATTGAGCTGCAATAAACAGTCTTGAGCAAGTGTCCTTATGATAAAAGAATTTTTTTCCTTCCAGGTAGATGCCCAGTAATGGGGTGCAGGATCAAATGGGAGGTCTAGCTTAAGTCCTTGGAGGGTTCTCCATACTTCCTTCCAAAATGGTTGTATTAGTTTGCAGTCCCACAAGCAGGGTAAAAGTGTTCCCTTCTCTCCACATCCATGCCAGCATCTATAGTTTTGAGATTTTGGGATGTGGGCCATTCTTGCTAGGGTTAGATGGTACCTTCAGGGTGGTTTAGATTTGCATTTCTCTAATAATTAGGGATGATGAGAATGTTTTCAATGTTTTGTTTAGCCATTCATCTGTCTTCTTTAGAGAAGTTTCTATTCATGTCTCTTGCCCAGTGATATATGGGATTGTTTACTCTTTTCATGTGGATTAATTTGAGTTCTCTATAGATCCTAGTTATCAAGCTTTTGTCTGATTCAAAATATGCAAATATCCTTTCCCATTGTGTAGGTTGTCTATTTACTTTGGTTGTTGTCTCCTTAGCTGTACAGAAGCTTTTCAGTTTAATTAAGTCCCATTTGTTCATTTTTGTTGTTGTTGCAATTGCCATGGCAATCTTCTTCATGAAGTCTTTCCCCAGGCCAATATCTTCCACTGTTTTTCCTATGCTTTCTTTGAGGATTTGTTTTGTTTCATGCCTTAAATTTAAGTCCTTTATCCATCTTGAATCAATTTTTGTGAGTAGAGAAAGGTAAGGGTCCAGTTTCAGTCTTTCACATGTGGATATCCAGTTCTCCCAGCACCATTTATTGAACAGGGAATCTTTCCCCCAAGGTATGTTCTTGTTTGGTTTACCAAAGATTATGTGGTTGTAAGATGTTAGTTTCATTTCCTGGTTTTCTATTTGATTCCAAATGTCTATGTCTCTATTTTTGTGCCAGTACTGTGCTGTCTTGACCACTGTGGCTTTGTAGTACAGCCTAAAATCTGGTATGGTGATGCCCCACCTTTGTTTTTATTACTAAGAACTGCCTTAGCTATACAGGTTTTTTCTGGTTCTATACAAAATGCAGAATCATTTTTTCCAAATCTTGAAAGTACTAAGTTTGCAACTCCTCTTTTCTTCTGAATTCCATTTGCCTGAAAAATTGTCTTCCAACACTTATCGCGGAGTTCTAATTGGTCTTTTGAAGCTAGATGTGTTTCCTCCAGACAACAAATGGATGGCTTGTGTTTTTTAATCCAATCAGCCAATCAATGCCTCTTCAGTGGGGAATTCAAGCCATTAACATTTATTGTGATAATTGATAAATGTGGCAGTGTTCTATTCATCTTATTTTGTGAGAATCCGTTGCTTAGTTTTATCTTTTGCATCAGTGTGGAAGTTAGGTTCTGTGCTTTAATTTCTGAGATCTTAATTTGCTGTGGATACATTATGATGGTCAGTTTGTAGAACAGGTTGAATCATTTCCTGTAGAGCTGGTCTTGTTGTGGTGAAGTTCTTCAATGTTTATATATCAGTAAATGATTTGATTTCTCTGTCAACTTTAAAGCTTAGCTTTGCAGGATATAGAATTTGGGGCTGGAAATTGTTTTGTTTAATTGTTTTGTTTAAGGTTAGATGACCTTTGTCTTCTTGCTTGGAAAGTTTCATTAAAGAAGTCTGCAGTCACCCTGATGGCTTTGCTCCTGTAGGTCAACTTACTTAAGTGTTCCTGTAGGGCACTTACTTGGCAGCTTGAAGAATCTTTTCTTTTGTCTTACTTTGGACAGGTTCATCACAATGTGTCTTGGAGAAGCTCAGTTTGAGTTGAGGTGACCTGGGATCCGATATCCCTCTGAAAAGAGTGTGTCAGAATCTTTGGTGATATTTGGGAAATTTTCATTTATAATATTCTCTAGTATGGCTTCCATTCCCCTGGGGCATTCTTCTTTCCCTTCTGGGATACCTATAACTTGTATGTTTGAATGCTTTATGAAGTCCCATAATTCTGTTAGTGAAAGTTCAGCTTTCTTTCTCTTCTTTTCTGCCTCTAACTATCTTAGTTATGTCAAGATCTTTGTCCTCTGCCTCTGAGATTCTTTCTTCTGCATGGTCTAATGTGTTGTTGATACTTTCTATTGCATCTTTAAGTTCCCTAATTGACTACTTCTATTCCCTCAGCTCTGCTATATCTTTTTTATATTCTTCATATCATTTATCTCTAATTTGATTCTGCTTTTGGATTTCCTTTCGGTTATTTTCCACTTTATCAGCAGTTTCCTTCATTGTTTCCATCATTTCCTTCATTGTTTTCATCATCTGTATTCTAAATTTTCTTTCTGTCATTTCTAACATTTCTTTATAGGTGGAATCCTCTGCAGTAGCTACCTTATGGTCCCTTGGGGGGTTGCTCTG